TCATGTGCACAAAACTGGCCTCATGTTCCTGGTTTGTATTTTCTGTAGTCCTGATGTCACTTTCACCAAATATCGAGTGCTATGTTATTAAAGGATTTCAGAATCAGCTCCAGCAGTGGACCCACAAATTTTCACTGCACCTGAATGGTCTGATCTTAGGCAGTTTTACCCTTACCCTTCTGCTCTGTGCTTTGTAAGCTTCTGACTCTAGTTTGGGTCTAGGCAATATAACTGAAAGCTTGCCCATGTTTGGAGTGCCAGAAGAATACTGTTCTTCCCTTGCTGGAAGGCTCTGCAGATTTAGACGAGCAGAACTGCAGACTCCCCCTTGTCCTGAACTACCTGCCCTGGTTACTTAGCTGTGAGCCTCAGACTGGGCTGGGGGTTGAATCCTCAGCCTTGCTTTAGGGTAGGAGCCACATTCTTTTTGCTAACTATTGTTCCTGCTCCTTTCTCAGTACATAGTCTCTAGTTTGAACTAAACCCAACAATCCCCAGGAATCCTTGTTTTATAGTCCCTGGTTTATAATGCCTAGATATGGAGCCTTCCTTAATCCAATCTAGATATATGACTTAGAGCAACACAGCTGTGGGCTGGCTCCTATTTTTGCCCCTAGTATAGCTTCATTCCCTGTCCGTCCTAGATTGTAGAATGAGTCTCTGTGCTGGAATAATCTGAGCAGATCCTTCCCGTTTGGACTTTTTCCCCAGTGCCCACATACTTCTATCTGTCTCTTCATGCTGACCTGGCTTGGAAAAATGACTCACTTTGGTTTTTGCCTTTGATTTTCCAATCATTACTCATGCTGGTATTCGTCCTATATCTTTGTTGGAGTTGTTTGATGAAGATTCAATCAATCAGTGAGTATTTATTATGCAGCTACTATGTGCCAGGTACTTGGCTATGCGCTTGGATTAAAAAGAAAGGCAAAAAACAATCCTTGCTTTCAGGGAAGTCACAGTTGTGGAGACAACATGCAAATAACTATATACATACAGATATAATCAGGATAAATTGGGGTTACTATCAGAGAAAAAGCACTAAAGTTTTTAATGATTAAGATAGCTTTCCTGTAGAAGATGGGACTTTAGTTGAAACTTGAACCCAGGAGCTAGAGAACAGCATTGGGAGGTTTCCATGGTGTAGGCATCCAATGAAAATGCTTGGATTTAGGAGAAGGAATATTGAGAGCAGGTTAGGAATGCCTTTAAAAGTCAAAAGGAGGATTTTATATTTGATGCTGGAGGAGTCACTGAAATTTCTTGAATAAAGGGATATGATATGGTTAGATCTGTACTTTTCAGGAAGATCAATTTGACATCTGAGTAGAAGATGAAGTAGAATAGTCAGAGAACTAAGGACATGAGACCAACCAGCTGGCTATTGTAATAATCTAGGCATGAGGTGATGAGGGCCTGACCAGGGAGGTAGCAGTGTCAAAGGAGAGATGGAGATGTATACAAGAGATAGTAGGAAGGCCAAAATAACAAGAGTTGACAACTGCTTGGATGGAAGGGGTGAGAGGGAAGAGTCAGGTTGACACTTAGGTTGTAAACCTGGGTGACTGGGAGGATGATGGTACCCTTTACAGCAATGTTTCTCAAAGTTTCTTCTGTGGACCTCTGAGAGTTCTCATGACACTTTCAGGGTCTGTGAGGTCAAATCCACTTTTATTATAATATGATATTATTTGCCTATTAAAATACCCCTTCCTTTTCCAACTACAAATCTATATGAGGCTGGATTTTCTTCATATACTTTAACCAGACTGATAACAGATTGAATGTAGACACAGGTGTGAGAATCTGTCTGTCTTTTATTAAGCTACACATAAAGAACCTTGCCAAAATATGTAGAACAATGCCACTCTTCTCACTAAAAGTTTTTTTGGTTTTGAAAAATATGGTTATTTTTCATTAAAAGTCATTTGTGTTGACATATAATGGGTTTGCTATTATATTTAAATGAATTAAACAAGTACTTTAAAAACTTAATCAGTTTTAATTTCTAATGTGGTAAAAATATAACCCCACATTTTAAAAAAAGTTCTTTAGTGTTCTCAATAATTTTTAAGAGTAGAAAGTAGTCTTCAATAATTTTTGAGAGTATAAAGGGATCCTAAAATCAAAAAGCTCTCTAAAGTAACAGGGAAGTTTGGACTTGGGTTTTACTGCTTCTCCTCACTTTGCTCTCTTTGCTAGTCTACCCTTCTGTTTTGAATGGGTATTTGTATTATTTATTCCTTCCTGAGTTTTCTTATTGCTAGATAGATATCCTGTTCATTTTTGTGGCTTTATTTTATAGCATTCTATTTTTACTGAAACTATTAACTGTCTCAATTTCCTTGCTGATTCTCTAGGATTTTCTAGGAAACCACATAGGGTTAGTTTCATCTCCTCTTTCACTGTCTTTATGCTTTTCATTTTTTTCTTGTCATATTGATATTATTTGCAGTTCTAGAACTATAACAAATAACAGTGGTAATGAGGGGCATCCTTTCTTTACTCTTACTTCTTGGAAAATACTAGAAGCTGTACTCATATGCTTATTAAGAAAACTGCTAGTATTTTTCCATTTTACATAGTGCCAGATTTTAGTTTAAATAGATTTTTTTTGTCATATTAAGAGAATCATTGCATATTTTTTTATGGTTTTTACTATAAGTTGGTATCCTTTGTCAAAGGCTTTTTCTGCCTATAATTAAGGTAATCGTATTTTGGTTTATGGTAGTTTTTAATATGATTAGTTACATTAATTGTTTCCTATAGTTGATCTGGCCTTAAATCCTTGGTATAAACATATTATCAAAACAAATTTTTTTTGGATAATTTTTCTAGAATTTTTTTGAGGGGTTGGGATTTTATTTATAACTTTAAAATTGATATTCTTTAATGATACTGCTCTAGTTTTCTTTTTTCAATTTTGCTCTCTTCTAATTTAAGCATAAGGACTATATTTGTCTTATAAATAAAGCTTGGTAGATTGATTTATCAATTTTTGAGTAAAATTTGGTTAATAAATTTTATTGAAATTGTTCTTTAAATTCATGTGAACCATAGTTTCTCTCCCTCTCCCTTTCCATTATCCTCTTAGTAATTCTTTTATAGCTAGCTGAATTTACTTTTATGAAATTGTATTGTTTAATATCTCTATTTGGTATTCTTTTAAATTTTGTTACCTTTATATTTTTATAGATTATTTTTTATTTCTTTTGAGTTATCTGTTTTGTAGGCATTTGTATCACTTTGTTGCTGTGATTAGTTTTGCTTAAAGTACTATGATTTTAACCACATTAATACAGACTCCTTTCTCTCACCTACTTTTCAATTTTTTCCCTGAATTTGGGGCTTTACTCAAATTATTTATTTAATTTATTTAGTTAATTTTTTGCTCCCCTTCTTTTTTGCCATCTTTCCTCTCTCTCAATTATGTGTTTATTTTCAAAATACTGTGCTCCCTTCTCTTCTGACTTCTTATATTTGTTAGTTTTCTTTTTCTGTAGTTTGTTTATTCACTTTACTTAGTCTATTCTGGAATTTTATTTTGTGATTCATAATAAGTTTGCAAAGACAAAGATAGAAATCTTTTTGGAAAGATTGCAGCTCCAATTTTATACTTACCTGACATGGATGTAATTGTACTCAAGACAAATTATGAATAATAAATAAGCTAAGAAGCTGCTAAAATTAATGGAAAACTCATTTAATATAAAAGCTTAATGAAAGCTTTTTTCTTTGCTCTCTGTTTTAAATGTGTGGTTAAAACTTTTGAAATACTGGTTTTGACTTTCCTTTTCTAACCAATTTCTGTATTATTATTGCCTTTATAGATCTTGCCACAATACCCTTTTTTCCTTTGTGCCTCAATATTTTGTTTATTTATTTGTGAGGCAGGTAATGTTGGATCAAAACAGTGCCCTATGGTAGATATTGCCCTGTGTCCCATTTGTTTCTAGTTCTAACTGTTGACTTCCCTATTTGCTAAGCCATCATATCAGTGGCTCCTTGTCTTTCACCTTCCATAATAGCTGCTCCTTACCCCTTTCTCCCACACTGGGATGTCTAGACTTGGCATTCAGAGAAATGTAATGCACGGTCTCCTCATAGATTATGAAAGACATCTCTTATAATTGTGAGTCTGTTCTTCAGTATTTTACTCCCTTTTTCCTTTGAGTTCAGATGCCCTGTCTTTATTCCTTCTGAAAGTTTCACTTCTTTCCTTCTGCTTTTCCAGTTCCCCTGCCACCTTTCTTCTTCTTGCTGAGATAGTATAGGAGTCACTATCCCTTTGCTATTCATTCATGTACAGCATGAATGAATCTTATCCTTCTGTACATCCACCCTGTCACTCTGCAATTTTGTCTCGCAAAATTGATTCACTTGTAGGATGGTTTGGAGTTTTAGAATGCTCTCTGTGACTTGGGTTTTTATTCCGTTTTCTTCCTCTTGAAATCTGATGTTCTGGCTTTTAAAAAAGTAGTCACCTGTCATTTGATTTCTGACTCTTCCCTCTTTGATACTAGAAACACTTATAGAGGCTGGGCTGCTTCAGCTTCCGCCTGATTTGGGGCATTTACTTGTTGATTGATGGCTTCTATAGTAGTTTGGAATCAAGAACTGCTAACAGGTGGACATTATATCAATATTCCCTACCCCTAATGGAAGCATTGACTTGTTAAAGGTCTGTAGTGCATTCCGTGAAAGGTATAAATGGCTAATGTATTAAATATTTCTACCTTAGAAAATTAACTTGCAATACCATTGTTACATTGTTAAATCTAAAGAACTAGGTATCAAGAGATTCATAGTATATCAGCTTTGCCAGCTGCTAGTTATGTTACCTTGAACAACTTATTCTTTGTAGATTTCAGTGTCTTTATATACATGAGAGTTGTAGTAGCTAATCCCTCAAGTTCCTATTCAGTATGAAATTCTATGATTCTCTTGTAATTTTTTTGCATTTCATTTTCTAAAATATAATTTTGTTTTTTCCTTCCCAGAATCTATATCGATTTGAAGGAACTGGGTTTACAAATATTCCTCAACTTATAGATTATCATTATACAACAAAGCAAGTCATTACTAAGAAATCAGGTGTAGTCCTGCTGAATCCTGTTGTTAAGGTATGTTCATCTGTTTTTTTAAAAAGAAGAATTCTTAATGTGTCTCCCTTTCATGTAATAAATACAATTTTCAGATATGAATGTCAACTTTAGGACAGATTTTAAATTTTGTGTGACACTCTTAATGTGGTTAGAACCTTCATTTTCAATATTCACTGAAATAACATACCTGTCAGTTATTGCCAGAATGCAGATTAACTGAGTATTCTTCCTAATATATACATAATTCATCAATTGTATGTTATGTATAACTCTGAAAATACATTAACATTTATCATTCCCACTGTAACATCAAGATTTATTGATATTGATTCAGTAAATGTTTATTAATTGTCTAATATTCCAGCATGGTGATAGACACTGGGGTTACAATGACAATAAAAGATACAGTTCCTGCCTTCAAGGAGCTTATACTCTATAGGTTGGAAACAATATACATAAAATAGGAACTAAAGTGTTTACTATTTGCTTGATTGGTATAGATCAATCCTTTAGCCAGCTTGCTTAATCTTGGTCACCAAGTTAAACCATGTAATGTTTCTATGGGCACACTGAACTACATATTTCATGATATTTAACTAGCTTTCACATAACTTTCCTGTGAGATTGCCAGTCCTCTCATGGAATATATTGAGTAGGGAACAGAGAGAAAATCATGTTGATTGGATCATAAAGTGTGTAAGGGAATTAATGTCCAATGACATTGGAAAGACAGGTTAAAACTTGGTTCTTAAGGGCTATAAATGCTAAACCAAGGCGTTTTACATTTTGTCCTGAAGTCAGTAAGAAACTATTGGAGTTGACTGAGTAGGGGAGAAAAATGGTGAGTTCTCTATTTAAGGAAAATTACTTTGGCATTATTGTCTAGGATGGACTGGAGTGGTAACAAATTTGAAGGTGGGAAACAAATTATGAAACTGTTGCAGTAATCTAGGTGAGATTTAATAAGGGTTTGAATTTAGGTGATAGCTATGTGAGTGTAGGGAAAGAGTAGGGTGTGAGAGATGTTGTGAAAGTAGAATAAGCAAAATCTGGGGATTGACTAGAGGTGTGGGGTGATGGTAGAGAGTCCAGGATGATGATGACATTAGGAAACTCAGAGACTGGAAGGATGGTGGTGCCTTTGATAGAAACAAGGAAGTTTGGAATAAGAAACAATTGAGGGGGGAAAAAGATAGTAAGTTATGTTTTTAGACACATTGAGTTTAAGATGTGTCCTGGAAATCCCATTTGAGATGCAATAGGCAACTGGTGATATGAACTAAAGAAGTAGGGCGATACTAGAACTAGCGATTTAGAAGTAAGAATCATCTGTATAGAGATGATAATTAACCCTATGTAAGTTGACGAGATTATCAAAGTGAAAATATAGAGGGAAAAGAGAAGGCCTAGTACAGAATGGGACACTTAACAGTTAGGGTATGTGATTTTTATATGTTGAGCCAGCAAAGTAGAATATGAGGTCTCCCAGGTGGAGCGTTGTATCACAAAAGCCCAGAAATGAGGGGCAGTATCCAGAAGGAGAAGGTGGTCAATGGTATCAAATGCAGAAAATAGGGTAAGAAAGATTAGGACTGAGAAAAATCTATCAGATTTGGCAATTAAGAGAATACAGATCACTTTGGAGAAAGCAATTTCAATTGAGAGATGAAGTCAAAAGTTAGGTTGTAAAGAATTTAGGTGTGAGAGGAGAAATAAAGGCAGTGATTTTAGAGTTTTTTCATGGAGTTTGACTAAGAGTAGAATTTTAAGATGATAGTCTCGACCCATATATCTTTTCAACTAGCTTATACGTACATGGTTATGTATGCTTATACATAGCTACCAAAAACTTGAAAGAGAGTAGATATAGGTATATAATGCCTAACCAGCATTTGTACCACTTTCTCTTGTTTACTGCCTGTTCTGTTGTGGAACAGTTGGCTATGATAATTTTCAGTACGAAAAATTCTAAAGCTAAAAGTGGAAGTATTAATGAATGTGGAACAAACTCTTCTTTAGTTAATGTTTTTCTAGTGAAAATAGAAGTTATTTCTTTGGAAGGGATTTGTTGGGTAGGTCTTGATGGATATATGAGTGGGCATGAATGAAAAAAGCAATTAAAATTTGCTGTAGGAGGATGAGGTAAAAATGAAGTAGATAAGCATCTTTTACGTTGTAAAGATAATTTATTTTAAATAAATCCTTCATAAATAGAAAATATTTAGTTGGAAATAACTCTTAGACTATGCAGAATTAATGTATGTAGCATTTCAATAATTGTTCAGTTACTGAAAGTTTATAAAAAGTGTTCCAACAAAGCAATCCATCTTACATATGCTTGTCAGTAAGAATTTTAGAAATTTAGTGTGAAAGCTGATCAAATTTTGAATAATCTTTTGGCCTTAAAAATGTGATAGAACTGAATTCTTGAGTGGAACAAATGTGCTAAGCTGGTATAATGAAACTTCCTGAAAATCTGTGTGTAAAAGTGTACATAGCAATTATTTCCCAGAATGAGTACTGGTAACATCCTAGTCTCTAACAATCATTTTATGCTCTTTAATTGTGAAATTATGTGATTTTGTTCAGTTATTAGTTTTAAGGATTATAAATTAGATTGGAAGCTTACAAATAAAAGCTCCAAAATGTCATGATGTCACTGTGTTCAGAAATTCATTCATTTTGTGGTTTACCTCTTTGGGAATAATGGATCAAATAAAGTAATTTTTTCATTTTGTGCTTTCTGTTATATATTATCCTGAAATTTTGCTATCCTGGAAATTTACTATAATACAGCCTTTATGGGTTCAGACTTTGAAATCATGGAATAATTGAGGCTGCTTGATTAAATTCCTATGGTGGACCTACATTGTATTGATTCTCGTAATAGATAGGGTTCCATTTTTAGAAAGTATGTCATATTTATTATTTTGAAGCAAAAATTATAAAATAACTTGCATTTATATAGTTCTTTATGACTGTAAACAACTTTGTGTAGTAAGTAACAAACATTATTAATCCCCTTCAACAGATGAATAAAATGAGGTCCAATCTTACATCATTGGTAAACGAAAAGTGAGGACTGAATTCAAGTCTTCTGACATAACTGATCTATAAACTAAAGTTTTCAAAAGTGAAAATTTTGTTTTCAAAGACATGATTAATCTTTCTTCATTCAGGTGGCCATATATATACACCCAATCAAATGAAAGATAAATTTAAAAAATACTTTTTATTTTTATCCTCAATGTGGATAAGATAGGTAGAAATAAAAGTTATACTCTTCAGAGGATTATCAAAAGTTTTTTCTTCACATGGGTTTTTGTTGTGGAGAACTGAATGTATATCTAAATGGAAAGTTAATTTGTACTATCCTTATTTTCTTTTATTCCATGAATTAAAAAGATAATGCATAGCTTCAAAGACTTTTTAAGTAACATTGTAGAAGTTATCTATCTACACTCTTCTCAGTGATGTTTGTGTAAAATAGATTGACTTTGTAAACAAAGATAATATGCACTTTATGCCTGTGTACCAAAATAATGCTTACTTACCTGCAGCCAGTGCTGAAGGTAATAGTTTGCCTTCAGGTGGTGAGAAAGGAAGATGTTCCTTATTTCCTATGTTCACTAATTTGGGTAACTTCTGTAGGCAGAGATTATTTTGAAGATTTAATTTTAAGAATTTAAAAGATTAATTGATGTCCAGTGTTTTGTGGCTATTTCTATAAAATACTCCTATTAGTTTTCAAAGAGATGGGATTTGTAAGTCGTTTTCATTCACTGAATCACGGCAAGTCAGTATTATAATGATCTAAGGTTTTTTGAAAATTATTTTTTTTCTTAAATTAATTCCATTTAAACATTTTGTAGGGGGAAGATAGTTGATAAGGTATAAAGATATGCCTGTTGCTATGCAGGGTGTCCTGAAAGTGCAGTTTTAAGCCTTCACAACTTAAAGATATCATAGGTTAAAACTGCACTAATACTTTGGGGACCTCCTATATAGAAGGAGATATAGTTTTCCATCTTATCCACCATTTTTCCCCATGAAATATAGATTGGTATCATTTAAGCCTTATTATCTTAAAGCTGCCCTGAGACTCTTGTGACACCTGTATAAACTATCAACAGATAAAGAGATGCTTGATCAATTTCTACGTAAAAAGTTATGGCAGATTGGTCCTTATTTCTACTTCATGGCCATTTACAATCTAATTATTGTATGGCTATTCTGTATAGTTGATATTATTAAATTTTCTCCTCTCCTCTTCTCCCCCTCCCCTCCCCTCTCCTCTTCTTCTTCTCCTCTCCTTTTCTTCTCCTCTCCTCTTCTTCTCCTCTCCTCTCCTCTTCTTTTCTTTTCTTGTCAATCAGGGTTAAGTGACTTGCCCAGAGTCACACAACTAATAAGTGTCAAGTATCTGAGAACAGATTTGAATTCAGGTCTGTCTCACTCCAGGTCCAGTGCTCTATGCACTGTGTCACCTAGCTGCTATTTAGCATGTTATTTAGCCAACTGATCAAAATTTACAGTAAGGTAGATTATAATATCCTGTTATGCAACAGTGTTTCTTAAATTTATTTTATAATCTCCTGCATTTATGCCTTCTTAGACCTATTTTCCCCTGGCTCAAAGACACTTTTTTTTAAATTTAAAAGCATTTTAATTAATTAATCAATTTTTGATTTTCAACATTCACTTCACCAAGATTTTGAGTTTCAGATTTTCTCTCCATCTTTCCCCTCTCCCCACCCCAAGACTGAATGCATCCTGATTACCCTTTCCCCCAATCTGTCTTCCTTCCTATCACCCCTTCCCCTTCTATTTTCCTGTAGGGCAAGATAGATTTCTATACTCCATTGCTGTATATCTTATTTCCCAGTTCCATGTAAAAACAATTTTTAACATTCATTTTTAAAACTTTGGGTTCCAAATTCTTTCTCTTCCTCCCTCCCCACCCACCCTCATTGAGAAGGCAAACAATTCAATACAGGTTACACATGTGTAGTCATGCAAAACACTTCCGTAATACTCATGTTGTGACAGACTAACTATATTTCCCTCCATCCTATCCTGCCGCCCATTTATTCTGTTCTCTGTTTTGACCCTGTCCTTCCTCAAAAGTATTTGCTTCTGATTACCCCTACCCCAATCTGCCCTCCCTTCTATCATCTTCCCCTCCTTTATCCCCTTTCCCCCTATTTTCCTGTAGAATAAGATAGCTTTCCATAACCAATTGACTGTGTATGTTATTTCTTCCTTGAGCCAAATCTGATGAGAGTAAACTTCACTAATTCCCTCTCACATCTCCTCTCTTCCCTTCCATTGTAAAAGCTTTTCCTTCCTTATCTTACCTTCCTCTCTCACCCCTTAATTTTATATTTTAGATATCATCCCTTCAGGTTCAACTCACTCTGTGCCCTGTCTACATATATTATGAAGTATTATTAATGTATTCATTATAATAAATGTTTGTTACATCATAATAATTAATTATGATTATCTATATTATTATATATTCCCTCTAATTACCCTAATACTGAGAAAGGTCTTGTGAGTTATAAATATCATCGTTCCATGTAGGAATGTAAACAGTCCAACTTAAAAAGTCCCTTATGATTTCTCTTTCCTTTTTATTTCATGCTTGGCCTTTTTCATGCTTCTCTTGAGTCTTGTATTTGAAAGTCAGATTTTCTATTCAGCTCTGGTCTTTTCATCAAGAATTCTTGAAAGTCCTCTATTTCATTGAATGTCCATTTTTTCCACTGAAGGACTATATTCAGTTTTTCTGGGTAGGTGATTTTTGGTTTTAATCCTAGCTTCTTTGACCTCCAGAATGTCATATTCCAAGCCCTCTGATCCCTTAATGTAAGAAGCTGCTAAATCTTGTGTTATCCTGATGGTATTTCCACAATACTTGAATTGTTTCTTTCTGGCTATTTGCAATATTTTCCTCTTGACCTGGGAACTCTGGAATTTAGCTATAATATTCCTAGGTGTTTTCCTTTTGGGATCTCTTTCAGGAGGTGTTCAGTGGATTCTTTCAATTTCCTTTTTACCCTCTGGTTCTAGAATATGAGGACAGTTTTCCTTGATAATGCCATTCTTTCTTTCTTTTTTTCCTTGATAATTTCTTGAAATGTGATGTTTAGGCTCTTTTTTTTTCTTTTCTGAGACAGTGAGGTTAAGTGACTTGCCCAGGGTCACATAGCTAGTGAGTATCATGTGTCTGAGGCCGAATTTGAACTCAGTTACTCTGACTCAAGGGCTGGTGCTCTATGCACTGCACCATCTAGCTGCCCCCTATGCTCTTTTTGGATCATGGCTTTCAGGTAGTCCAGTAATTTTTAAATTATATCTCCTGCATCTATTTTCCAGGTCAGTTGTTTTTCCAATTGGTTATTTCATATTGTCTTCTATTTTTTTCATTTTTTTGGTTTTATTTTATTATTTCTTGATTTCTCATGAAATCATTAGTTTCTGTTTGCTCCATTCTAATTTCTAAGGAATTATTTTCTTCAGTGAGCTTTTGGACATCCTTTTCCATTTGGCCAGTTCTGCTTTTTAAGGCGTTCTTCTCCATGTTGGCTTTTGGGACCTTTTTTGCCATTTGGGTTAGTCTATTTTAAAGGTGTTATTTTCTTCAGTATTTTTTTGGGTCTCCTTTACCAAGCTGTTGCCTCTTTTTTCATTATTTTCTTGCATCACTCTCATTTGTCTTCTCAGTTTTTCCTCTACTTCTCTGACTTGATTTTCAAAATCCTTTTTGAGCTCTTGCATGGCCTGAGACTAATTCACATTTTTCTCGGAGGCTTTGGAGATAGGAGCTTTGACTTTGTTGCCTTCTTCTGGTTGTATGTTTTGATCTTCTTTGTCACCAAAGTAAGATTCTGTAGTCTGAGTATTTTTCTGCTGTTTGTTCATATTCCCAGCCAATTACTTGATTTTTGAACTCTTTGTTAAGGTAGGGCTCTGCTTCCAGTGTGGAGGGTGTACTGGCCCAAGCTTCAGGGGTTTTGTGCAGCTGTTTTCAGAGATACTTCTAGGACCAGTAAATTTTCAGTTCTTCCAAGGTGGTATGATCAAAGGAGAGGTGTTTACTCCTCGGAGAGGTGTTTACTCCTCTCCTGGCCTATGCTCTGGTCTGTGAATGACCATAAGTACTCTTTTCTGCCTTCCTTAGAACTGTGAGGAGGATTCTCTCTCCATTGCCGCCACAAGCTCAGCTATGCCAGTGCTCCTCCTCACCCCAAATATACTTTCTGTTCTAGAAAATGTACTCTTCAGTGCATCAAACAGGTGTTTTTCTTTTGTTTTTGATGTAGGATAAGAAATGGGTTCTCAGTCATGAAGATGTCACATTGGGAGAATTACTAGGCAAGGTAAGTAATTAAACATGCTAACTTTTTAAAATTCAGTTCGTTTGAATTTCATATTGTTTGTAAAGTCTTAAGATTTCTCTTTTTTCTTCAAAATTGTTTTTTTCTTATGTCCTAATATTCAGTAAAGTGTGTTTGAAACTAATTTATGAAACGTAGTACCACACCTAGTGATGTATATGTATATGTGTGTATATATACACAGTACACTTTTGCTATATTTGCCTCTTAAAACAACTGTGTTGAAACTGAGGAGTAATTTAAAGTTTCTTATTGGCTTAAAAATACCCTATATAATTTTTAAAAAAGGAACACAAGTAAAAAGACATCTTAGTATAAAATAACATGTATATCTTTAAGTTAGTGGCCTTATAAAAGAAATGAAATAATAAAAGGTTTTACATAGAATAGGATATGTTTAAACTAATTGTAGTCTTTACTCTTTCTTTGGGTTATATGCGAGAAATAGTTCAAGAAAAATTAAATATTAATTCTGTATTGTATCAAATTATATCACTAGATTGGATAAAGGTTTTAAATATAAATAATCTCAAGATAAGCAACAGTTTTTGTGTACAGTGTACACGAATAAGTGTTTAGGGGGCCAGTTTCAAAGTCTAGAAGACCTAGATTCAAGTAATATGTCTGATACATACACCTTTGTGGCCCTGGTTAAGTTTCTTAATGCTACTGTCACCTCTAAGACTCTAAGTTGCAGAACAGTGATAGCTCTTATAGAGGGAATTACCTTAATGGGATTTTCCTACATCAGTGAAATCACATCTGCACCTTTTAATGCAAAGTATATGAATAGATAAGTATATGCAGCAATGCATTGTTTTAACATAGCTTGTTGTTACACAGATTTAGATAGAATACTAGTCAAACCACATTTATCAGAATGTGGAAACTGTATATAATAAAAGACAATTATATGATTAGCCTATTCCTTTTCCCCAAAACTGACTTTATAAGGGAGTTCTGAAGTGTATGTTATGGCTCAGTAAGAAATGGAAGAAAACAAATGCAAATTAAATATTCTTTTGTTTATACTTTAATTATAATGTTTAAATGTTAGTTTATTCAAAAGATTGATTTATATCTTTATTAGAGGTATTTCTGTACAAAAGATTTGATTGATCTTGACTTCATGATGTGAAATTCAGGACAGTGTGAAGTCTGAACATTTGTGAAAGGCAAACAATTTCAATTAATGTCTTGTAATTATGATATAATATGTAAGATAAAGAGATTACTAATATGTGGTAAATTAGCTGTTTGGGGGGATATAAATCTTTATGAAATTACTCATGATGCCTGGCTTATAGTAGGTGCTAATTAAGTGCTTGTTAAATGATACTGGTAAAATTATAGTCAAAATATTTTCTTGTGTTATAAGCTATTTGACAAATTCACAAAATTTAATAAATTTCCATTGTATACACCAACAACCTCATATGTTATTGATGTAGTAGTATTGATTTAATGTGTAAACTTGGAAAATTTGGGGAAGAACTCCAAACTAAAGAATAGTAATAGATGTTTGTTTTCTATGTCTTAATCATTCTGCATAGAAACATGCATTCATTTTCTTCACATCAGAAAAAAGTATATCTTGTCTGTGAATCAAAAGATACCATTGAAAATCTAAAGTAATAAAGGAATCAAAATGAAAAAATTAATACATAATCATAATGCAGGTAAAGCAGTTGTTGAACAAGAAAAGAGTGTGAGTCAAGCTGGAATATTCAGTAGTAGGGAAATTTTTCTTTTCAATTAAACAAAAACCCTCTAACAGTTTTTATATTTAGTCATCTTATTTTTTTAATTGATATTTTGGGGGGTAAAAATAAAATTGAACTCTTTAGAAAATTTTCAAAAACTTAATAACACCAGAAAGAGTAGAATATACCAATTTTAATAAGTTTAATTATCCTTCTTTGAAAGACTATATCCTCCACAAAGACTGTATGACAGTTGATAAATCATTCCATAAGAAATTCTTCAAATAGAAGAAAATTAACCACTTCATAATGATTGTCAGTGAGTAGAAAATAGAATTATCAAGTGAACAGCATCTTTCTTGGAATTATGGTAAATTGGTTATTATAAAATTCACTTATTACAATTCATTCTCACCCAAATCAGGATGTAGACCTGACTTGACTACAAATTATTGGTTATGTCACTCCTCAGCTCAGAAATCACCAGTGACTGTGTTGCATATTCAGAAAGTCCAAACTCCTTTAACTTTTCATTAAAGACACATTTTAGACTCCAGAGGACCTTTTCAGCTCTGTCTCCTTTATTCCTGTCATGTATCTCTAGCTCTTAACTGCACTACCTTCCATTCATGAACCATACCTTGTCCTTTCTTATTTCCACACCTCTGACTTATATTTCATCCTGATATTCACCTTTCTTATAGAGTTTTCAGAATCACAGATAATTGTCAGTCAACCAGCAAGCATTTATTAAGTACCTAGGTACTATGTGCCAGGCATTGTGCTAAACAAAGAAAGGCAAAGAACAGTGCCTATTCTCAATTAGCTTACAAGGGAAAGTTTATAACTTCTCCATTGGAGGAGACAACATGAAAACAACTGTGTCATACAAGCAAGACATGTATAGGATAAATGGAGATAATTATGAGAAGGAAGATAGTAACAATAAGAGGGTTTGGGAAAGGCTTTTTGTAGAAGATGGTATTTTATCTGAGACTGGAATGAAACCAGGAAGGGTAAGAGACAGAGATAAGTAGAGAGAGAGATTTCCAGGCTTAAGGGAAAACCAGTGAAAATGCCCAGAGTCTAGAGATGGGAAGTATCTTGTGTGAAGAATAGAAAGGAGGCTGGTGTCAGTGCATCAAAGCATAAGTGGAAAGTAGGAAGTATGTAAGGAGGCTTGAAATGTAGGAAGGAGGTAGGTTATGAAAGGATTTAAAAACCAAACAGAAGATTTTATAATTGATCATGGAGGTAATAGGGAGCCATTGGAGCTATAGTATGTAGTATAGTATGAGCAGTGTGATGTGATTAGATCTTAGCTTCAAGAAGATCAGTTTGACAGCTAAATGGAGAAAGGACTAGATAGGCAGCAAGCAAGCTATTGCAATAGTCCTGGCACATGGTGATGAGGGCCTGCATCAGGGTGGTCACAACAAGAATGTTAAGAAGGTACTTAACGGTTCTTAGCAAAAGATTGGATATGGGAAATAAGAAAGTGGGGAGTTGAGGATGACACCTATGTCTTGCAACTCAATATCTGGTAGGATAGTGGCACCCTCAATAGTAATAGGAAATTTAGGATATAGGAAAGCTAGATGAGGGGTGGGGGTGGCAGTTTTGGACACATTGAGTTAAAGATGTCTACAAGGCATTCAGTTCTGAATATTCAATAAGTAGTTAGAAAAGTGAGACTGAAGGTGAGCAGGGAGGTTGGGGATAGATAAGTAGATCTGAGAATCATCAGCCCACAGATGATCATTGTATGTATCTCTTCTTTGAGAATTCTTAATACTCTTGTAGCAAAGGATCATATAGTGATAATATCACTGATCTAGAGCTGGAAGGGAATTCATTTGTAGACCATCCTTTAAGGATAAAAAAATCAGGGCCCGAAAGACTGACTGGTTTGTATCCACACAAGTGGCATCAGAGATAGGATTTGAACTCAAGTCCCCTGACTCCATAGTCATTCTTACTTTATCATGGTGGGGCTTAGTATATTATCGAAAAGCAAATATATTTGTAAATTATATATATGTGTGTGTGTGTCTGTGTATTTATATATAATATGTGTGTGTGTGTATATGCACACACATACACACACACACATATGTATGTATGTATGTATTACACACATTTTTAAAAATATTATTGTTGTTTGTCCTTCGTTCTTGAAGAGGGCCATGACATCAGGGATGTGAGGGAGGGCTGTGCAAAGTCACCTGCCTCACTTTCTTCACTGGAGCCATTGGGTCCAGTGGTGAGATATAGATCAGGATGACTGAAGATGGCCCTGGATGCAGCAGGAGAGGTCAGCCTTTTTAAGCTTTTTAGTACTAAAGGTCTCAGTTTGACTGAGGTAGCACCTATTCAGTGATTAAGGCTAGGTAAGACAGATATCAATTGTACCCGTGTGATTAAAAAATTGCCTCACAAGATCTTTTTCATATATATTTCATTTCATATATACACATGTATATGTATGTGTATATATAGTCTAACATGTTTTATATTATATAGCATATAATATGTTATGTATAATATATATGTATTCTGTATCTACACACATATACAACAGCATATAAACAGAAACATACATAAATGCTAAAAACACTTTTTCTCTGTAAATCTTTAGCAATGTTAATCGTCTGATATAACATAAAAATATAAATTTTGCAATTAAATGATATTAACTTGGAAATATTAAACAGTCCTAGAAATATAAAATATGGTTATCTTGTACAGAAATCTTGAGCTTATATTTATTTTTAACGAGAATGAAAAAGTCAGGAAGCATCTATTGAATGGATACTATTGCCATGGGCTGCCATTAAGTTCTGATCTTTCCAAGATAACTCACTGTTTTCATCATCTTTCTACTACTTCAGCACTTTGAAACCAATAGACCATTCAGGTATAGTAGTGAAACTAATTTGTATTAGTATTTAAAGAGTGGTTTTTCAAATAAGATTAGAGTTTGAGGTTTGAGGGAGAATGAAACTTTAGTCTTTTTTCCAAGAATTACACTTCTTGGACAGAGCCTTTTTAGTTTCCTCCTTTTCCTCTACCTGTTTTACTTTTTCTCCCCCTTCTCCTTACACTGCCAACTTGTAAGGTATTGGTATAATTAGATGGCTGATGAATGAAAACTGTTCCAAGTTTTTTTCTACCCAAATATTTAACTAAATCTAACTTTAAAACTTTGATCATGATAATAAGGAAAGTTACCTTCTTTTCCTATATTTTTCAAAGATACATGACAATAGTTTGCTTTTAATAGTAAGTATATTTTCATTTTCAGGGTAATTTTGGTGAAGTATATAAGGGAACATTAAAGGATAAAACTGCTGTTGCTGTAAAAACTTGTAAAGAAGATCTTCCTCAGGAACTGAAAATAAAATTTTTACAAGAGGCCAAGTGAGTTCTCTAAAGTAAACCAGAATTTGTATTGATGGCATGTTGAATAATTCATTATGATGTAAAATTTAATACCCTTTGAATTGTGGTTTGCTAACATTTCAGTGGTTTGTGAACCTAGTAATGATCAGTTTCAAAATCTGGTACTACTTCTACAGGAATCAGTAATGGTTTTGAGGTAAACTATAGCCACTAGGTGGTGCAGTGGATAGAGTACTGGGCTTGGAGTCAGGAAGCCCTGGGTTCAGATTCATTGGTCTCAGACACTTATTAACTGTGTGACCCTTGGGCAAGTCATTTAACCTTGTTTGCCTCAGTTTACTTATCTGTAAAAATGAAGGGGAGAAGGAAATGGCAAACCATTCCAATATCTTTGCCAAGAAAACCCCAAATGGGGTCACAGAGAGTTAAATTTGACTGAACAACAACAACATAGAACAAATAGACAATGATAATCAAATGATTCAACTGTTAAATAGCATCCAATTTGGACTTTCCAAGTTTATCTTAAATGAAAAAGGCTGTTATAATCTCATTTATACATCACTGTGTAGGTATACATGCTCATGTACACATCTAAATCTTTGTACTTGTTATGTTTATATACTCCTCATTAGAACTTAGGCATCAATTCTTTTTCCATATCTTCCTACCTCCCATTTCTAACAAGCCATATTTCTTCTTCCATCTCAGAGTTCTGCCTTTTCTTTAACCTCCCAAATCCATCCTTCCCAGTTCCCTTGCTAATTATTTTCACTTCTTTCTACTCTTCAGTAAAATTGTATGTCCTACCTTACACTCACACCCTTATCATGTAAAATGTTGAAGGTGTTCAGCTGGTGGCACAGTCAACACTAAGTAAATTAAAAACCATTTAAGTAATAGTACCACATTTTCTCCCTCTCAAAAAATATGACTGCAGGATTTTATGATACTTGATTCTTTCTGTTGCAGGGAAGCTAGGTGGCACAGTGGGTCTGGAGTCAGGACATAATTGAGTTCAAATCCTCCCTCAAACACTTGCTTGTGACCCTGAGCGAGTCACTTAACCTGTATGCTTCAGTTTCCTCATCTGTTAAATCTGTAAAAAACCTAATAGTAGCAACTACTTCCAGGATTATTGTGAGGATAAAATGAAATAGTATTTGTAACATGCTTTGCAAACCTCACAGTGTTATTAGCTATTATTATTGTTTCATTTTAAATTAATTTTTTAAATGACTGATACAATATCTCTCAGTTTAAATGTTAATCTGTGGTCCTTGTCTTTTGGGAAACTTGGTAAATTTACCATTACAATGCTAGTTATATTATTTCCCACTTATGCAGCCATTCATTTACTGCATGGTGGAGAATATGAGACTTTTCTTTATTTCCTTGAAAGCTTTTTCTGAGAAAATTAAAAAAACCAACAACCAAGCCTTAAGTTTTCCAAAATGGAATCTATTGGAATTTTTATAAGTATATGTGAGAGATTTTTTTTTCTAGCAGTCCTGCCAGACTTTTAAAGATACCTAAGTATAGAAGTGTAGACATTCTTTTCGCACTTCAAATATGTATGCTTCCTAAGTGTTTATACATTTATGATTACTATCACACCTAAATGTTTATAGTCTGTTTGGCATTTAAAGGTCTTCATAATATGGTCCCTTCCTTCTTCCCCTCCATACTCAGGTACACTGAGCTACCTTCTATTCTTTTAGCATGACGTGCCATCATCTTCCTGCCTTTATACTAACTGTGTATTTTCCTCTGCCTGGAATGCTCTACATCCTCATGTCCACATTTTAGTTTTCCTGACTTTCTTCAAGATTCAGCTCAAAAATGACCTTCTGGAGGAGGCATTTCTTGGTCTCTCCAGCTGAGAGTACCTTTTTCTTTGCGATTACATCCCATGTTTTCTGTATTTATCTTGTATGCATCTGGTTATTTACATGTTTTTTTCGCCGTTAGAAAATAAACTTTATGGCAGGGACCTTTTTTTTTTGCCTTTTTTTGTATCCCTAGTGCTAGCAGAGTTCCCAGAGTATACTAAGTGCTTAATAAATGCTTTTTTATTTATTGATTTATTGATATATAACTTAAAATTTTCCTTGCTTTACATTTCCTTGTATGTGTTTTTTATTTTGATAATTTGTTTCATTTCAGTTAATCCTTTGACCTATGTGGGGCCAAAAGCAGCTTCTCTAAAGATGAATGATAGTGTCTGTAGGACATAAAAAATAATACACTTGATTAGTAAATATAGTCTATGGAAAAAAGTTGTGAAACTTTGTCTAACATGCTTATAATATGCCATGTAAAGAAACTTATATTTTCTGGTGGGAGTAAAAAATTAATAAACATCATCATAGACTAGAAAATTTGGTACCCAGTTATCTCATTAACTTATTGCCATTTATTGTTATTCCTAGTCATAATGTTAGCTGCACAATTATTTGTAAAAATATTTAACTTATTTTCTGCTATATAATTTGATAAGTGTGTTATTTTAGCATAGATAATTTAATACACTTTTAGCCTTTGATATACCCAAGCAATTTATATGTTTTGAGAGTCATTTGATTTTATGTGTATATTCATGCTAAGTGATTAGTGGAATTTCTTTACTTGCTAAGAAAGTTTGCATCCCACCAGCTGAGATTTGGTATTAAAATCAAACATTGTAAAGTTTTTTTTTTAGTTTTCTAGAGCAGTTTTTAACTGTAAACTTGTGTACTAAAATATTTTGATAACTATATTTAAATATAATTGACTTCTTTTTGTAATATTATCTATTTTACTGTATTGATTTAAAAACATTATTCTTAGAAGGGGTTCATAGTCTTTACCCGACAGAAATGTTTCTGACATAAAAAAAGGTTAAGAACGCCTGTTATAGAACGAATGACTAGTTACAAGTAATTCACAGAGTATTTGCCATAAGTCTCTACAATTATTCCTAATCTGTCTTTCCACTTACAAGTCATAATATATTATCATTCTTAAAATATTTTTCGGCTCTTTCTGTGTGTGTGTGTGTGTATAAATATATAAATTTTCTTTGACCCTAAATTAAGGTAGTTTTGTTCATACCGTTGTCATTTTTTTTTTGGAAAACAGTGGAGCTCATTGACTGTGATAATAGAATAATAAAAATGGAAAGAACTTACAGAGTTAATGTAATCTGTTGTTACTACTGCTTAAATAATCCTGTTCACATGGATATCTGTCTTACATTTGAAGATACCAGGGACATCTGTGGCCTATTCCATTATTAGTAATGGAATTCTCTGTCAGGAAGTGGCTCTTAATATCTAAGCTAATTTTCTCCTATTCAGTGTGAATGTGTTTCCTTATCCCAAATTGAGACAAACTATTAATATTACATTTAGTAATACTAGTATTACAACTTTTAATTTTTCACAGGAGTGAAAAGAAGTTATCCTTTTCTTCCAGTTTAGATTATCTCGATTACCTCAGTGTTTGTCAAGGTTCTTATTTTTCAGTGATGGTTTTATTATTATTATTGTTATTGTTATTACCACCCAAATCTGTCAAAGTCAAGCCCTGTGCTCAATAGAGCATTTCTCTTGTGGCCAAAAGAAGGGGATACTCATTTGGGGGTAGATAGCAATCCCCATAATTTTATTGTTATAGGAAACTGCTAGTGAGAACCTTACTCCACTAATTCTGGTCTGCCTCCAACTTTCAATCTTAGAGAATCTGCCTGGAGTGCTGAGAGATTAAGTGACTTGCCCAGAATCACACAAACAGGATGTGTTAGAAATTGGACTTGAACCTAGGGCTTTCTAGCCTTGAAGCTAGCTCTAGGCACTATGCCATGCAGTTTTTATTTTATATGTGTATGTGGTATGAAATTTTTTAAAAATGGTATTACATTTTAAATCCATGTTTATCTTATAATCTAAGATGGATACATAATTTTCAATTTCACTTGTGTGTAGTATCTGGCCCAAAGTCAGATTATATGAAAGCATATGTTCTGTAGGATTTTATGTACAACCCAACTTATTATATTTAATGTGACAATCAACCATATATCAACTTGGTAATAACTGGTAAATGTTAAGAATGAATCATGGTGCCAAGTATTGTAAAGAAGACGAGACCTAGAATCAAGATAAACCTGAATTTTAGTTTTAGTTTATCATTCTGCAAAGAATCATAAATATAAAGCTGTAAGGAACCTTCACAGTCATATAGCCCTATCCCTTCATTTTGCAAGTGAGGAAATTGAGGCCCAGCATGGTTAATTGATTTGTTTAAGGTCTTAGAGCTATTAAATGACAGAATAGAGTTTCAGATTCAGGTTATCTAACCTTAAGGCTGTGCTCTTTTTGGTTTTACATAGTACCTTGCTTATAGAGTAAATAATTAGTTTTGTGTGTGTGTGTGTGTGTGTATTTATTTAATTTACATTATAAATGCTAATGTAACTTCTTCTCCTATCCAGAATACTCAAACAATATGACCATCCTAATATTGTCAAGCTTATAGGAGTTTGCACACAAAGACAACCCATTTACATCATCATGGAGCTTATTCCAGGTAATTTTTTCTGTTTCCTGTTTTATGAGACGTGTTTCAGCTTATATTTTAATGTCTTTTTTTTGGGGGGGGGTCCTGTGATAAGTTGTCTTCATGAGTTTTCCTTGTTAAATGTTCAAGGGCCTTAGTTATAGTTATGTGGTATAGTGAGACTTAATACTTTTGCACAAAATATCCTTACAAAGGTTATAGTGTTAGGAAAGGTCAACTGATACGTTAACTACATATGTAACACATGTTAATCATGTGTGGTTTCGCATTGAATTAAATGACTCCATTCACTGGGAATTGGCTTTATTAATTATGCTTTCATGACCAAAGAATGTATAGGAAGATATCCTAAATTTAGGTTAGTTAGATTTGGATTTTCAAGGAGAAGCTCGAACTCCATCTTTTAATGCCCTCATTTCCATTTATGTATTTCTACTATTTAAGTCCTCTAAAAAAATAATGGCTAGAAAGTTGCATATTTTTTGTTATTTCTGCTGTGGATCATGACCCTTGCCAGTCCAGGTTGATTGGGCTAGTAATTTTTGCCAGCATATGGAGACAGCTTAAAACTATTATAACATGTACTTGAATTTCATTGTACTTCTGTCTATAATAGAGAATATATTCTTTATGATTAATATTTGTCATGGAAGCACTTAATATCATATATACCTGCATATCTCTATCTAGTGGTGGTGTCAGTAAATATTTATTATGTTATATTATGTTATATCATATCATATATCGTATCGTATCATATTGTATCATATCATATCATATCATATCATATCATATCATATCATATCATGTCATGTCATGTCATATTATATTATATCATGTCATGTCATATTACATTGCATTGCATTGCATTGCATTGCATTGCATTGCATTGCATTGCATTGCATTGCATTGCATTGCATTGCATTACATTACATTGTATTATATGCCAGGCCCTGTGCTAGGTTCTGAGGGTACGGAAAGAAGCAAAATTCAGTCTCTGCCCTCAAGGAGCTCACAATCTAATTTTTTTGCCACCATCTTTTTTTTTTGGCTGTACTTGAAAAGAATACAAGCCAACAAATGAATATTCATATTAGATGTATGTGTATGTATCTATGTATTGAGACAAAAATGTATATATCCGTATACTACAGATCTCTCTATGTGAATATAAATCAGAAATAAAAGGTAGGAGAATAAAGTATTACATTAAATACTGTGTGCCAAAATTGATATCCTATGTAATTCTTACACTATCTGAGAATTGTTGTACTCTTCATACTTTTACTTTAATTTCCATTTTAATGGAACCTCTTGATATGTCCTTTATTGTCACTGCATAATTTTTAACCCCAGGATTTCTATATCATTATCATCTTCAAGTAACATTGCACTATGCTTGTTACAGTACACATTTTTGTAGTTTGATTAATATGTGGTTCATGCTCTAAATGATTTTGTAATCTAATTGGGAGAAATTATGGATTAAAATACATCAGTAAACAAATTGAATGGAATACGATATAAATAAAACAGTATATATGACAAAAGTACAAATTAACATACATATATGTCTATTACACACACAAAATAAGTTCAAATAGATGTCTTGGAATAGAGATAATAAATTTTAATTCTCAAATGTATTGTAGAGTAAGTAGATTTTGCTACTCTTCCTGAGGTATATAGAAAAGTGGATTTTGTTCTATATGTTGGGATGGTTGAAAAAAGAATTAACATAAAAGTAAGTTTTTTGTTTTATTTTACAAGAGCAAGTAAATAGTTTAAGGAATTTAAAATTGAATATAATATGCTTTGTGGCTTAAAGGATAGGTGCATTGTTAGGTAAAAGTGGTTGTGGCTTCTGGGGCAGAGTGACAAAATGCCCGGAAGGATAAAGAACAAGACTTTGTATTTGGGTCACTGGGAGAGGCAGAGCACTACCGCAGGACTGAACAGCACTATTGTATAATATATATCTTATATATAACAAATAGGTCAAATTGAACTGGGAAGAAGTTGGAGATATTAAATGCACTGAAGAAGAATATACATTATTCTAGTTGTAGGCTAAGGAAATTTGAATATAGGAATAAAGAGGGAAAGCCTAAATAACATGTAAGTTAAGCTATATTTGCAGAAGCAGCACTTTGATACAAAAATATACTAAAGAGAATATATTCAAGTACTGAAATGCATTTGTGATCTCATTAATGTATTAGTTTCAGTGATGCGTATCATAGCTCATTCAGGCCTGCCCATTCCATGTTACATTTGTCCCTGACCTCCCATAAGTTCACTACAGGATATTTACCCAACATATCAATGGCCTGCTTTGCTTTCTCTTTACTTCACAAAAGTAACAGTGGAGCACATCAGCTGTCCATTAGTTATACCTCATGCTTGCCATGTAAATAGTCAATCTTTTCTCCTGCTAAAATATTTCTTTGATGAAATTCTTTATTCTCTTTCATAATTATAGGATCATATCTTTAGTACCTAATAGGACTTAGCAACCATCTAATTCAACCTTCTTATTTTAGAGAAGAAAAACTAGGGCTATGTGTGAAAGAAGTAACAAAACCAGAATTCAAAACTAGGCCCTTTGATTCCAAATCTGATGTTTTGTTTGTAGCTTTTCCCCCATGGGACCACACCATTTTGATTGTTATGTGTGGTCACTAGTTCATAGTGTCCATGTACTTTTCCATGATCTCTACCAAAAAGTTATTTTAAAACATTAGTAATTATCTACCACATACTTTCCTGTCTCTGTGTTGAGGTTTAGAGGTTTGGGACCCCAAAATCACAACACATGAGTCCTGTCCAAATAAATTCAACCCAAGCTTTCTTTCAGCCAAAGACAAGCTTTATTAAAGATCTGCCTTATTGGCCAGACTCTTAAGCAATCTGAACATTTGTGAGCTGTTGGCTAGATTATAAGAATCTGAGCCCTTGGCCAGACTCTTAAAGAATCTGAGCCCCTTAATGGAGACAAGATGGACCTTATGTACAGAAAGACCTTGGGACGAATCTATGAGTGGAGGAGGGGTCTGGGAGAATCTTGATGGGTGTGACTGGGAGGTAGAATGGTGTCTAGGTAGGGTCAAGTGTGGGAAGTAACCTGGGCCATCTGGAGGTAATAGACAATGCAGGGCTGGGCTAGGTTAAGGGTAACAAAGAATTGGGAGATTGGGTGTAGTGAAAGGCCAGTTGATAGGATTATAGCCTCAGGGGAACACCAGAGATTTTGGCTATGTGGGAAAGTCCAGGACCTCTCCCTCTTGGGGTCCAGATCCTAAAGACATGGTCCATTCCCATTAGGGATTCAGATCACATCCTCATCATCTGTAAGTCTTTATGAGAATAAGAGGGGTGTGTGTGTGTGTGTGTTGAGGGCATCAGAAGTCTCAGAAAAAAAGAAAAGAGCAGGAAGGTTTTAGCAAATTCTGCCTTAACGTAAATCACATCTTTATGCAATTGACTGAAAGAACAGAAATCCTTTATCCTTTGCTGACTGTTTTAAAAGTATCCAATTCAGTAGAGCAAAAATGCTACCTTAAAGCCCATCCTTCATCAGGCCATCTCCCATATGTTGAACTCATGTGTCATTGAAAGATGTAATAACTAAGATGTTTTTTGTTTGATGACCTACTGATAATAAAACCTGTTCTTCACAAAACTCCCACAAGTTCTCTTCCCTTTACCTTGTCATCTAATGACCTCATCTCATATTTACTGAGAAAATAGAGGCTATTGGTCTGAAATTTCTCTTCATCATTATTATTCAGGTTTCTGATAATGAGTGGCCCTTCTCCTTGCCAAGGTCAACCTTTCTGTGTATGCCCTTGATCTCATCTTCTTTATCTGAATAATGTTCCTTTTCTAGGGTTTTTTGACAGACCTTTCTTCTGCTTCCTATCCTACCTTTCAGACCATTCCTTTCAAGTCTTCATTGCTGGCTCTTCATCTGTGTAATGCCCTCTCACTCTGGGAGGGCATATTTCTACATTTTCACTTGGTGATTTTCATTGTCTCCCAAAGTTTTAAACATCATCTTTATGCAGATGATTCCCAGATTTATATATATCTAGCCCTAATTCTTGGAGAGAAACTCAGTATGAATTTCATTGCTACAACATCAGTTGATCATTGGATAGTTGCACCTGGCTGTCCCATTGACATTTCAGACTTTCACATATCAAAAAAACTCATTAATTCTGTCCAGGTTACCACCATCCTTCTAGTCTTTTAAGTTCACAACCTCTCTGTTATTCTCAATTTTTCATATGTTCTCACTCCACACATCTAATCGGTTGTCATATTTTATCATTTTACTCTTGTAACATCTCTACCAACTGTAATGTTCGTATTACTCATATGACAACTGCCTTATGTGAGGCCTTTGTTACCATGTATGTGGATTATTATAATAGCCTGCCTAATTGGTTTTCCATTGCAATAATTGCCTCCACAGACTTACCAAAGTCATTTTCCTTAAGTGCAGGACTGCGTCATACTTCTGTACAATATACTACAGTGGCTACCTATTACTTAATTTTTTTCTTGTTATAATCAGCCAAGATCTGTTTTCTAATACTACTCTTCCCTACCTCATTTTCCCACTACCATCCATTGCACCCCATCTCCCTTTCCCCATTGGGAACACAAGAAGAGCAAAAGTTATTACAAACATATAGAGTCAAATCAAAATAAACTTTCACACTGGCCACATCCAAAAAAATTTTTATCTCATTCTGCATTCTGAGTTCTACACCTCTCTTATTAGGAGGGTAGCACATTTCATCATTTGTTCTCTGGAATTCTGCTTTTTGCTTAGGACAGTACCTGGCCTACAGGAGGTGCTTAATAAATGATGGTTAATTACATGATAAAAACAGCCTCCATCTGTCTCCTTCTGGCAAGTGAGTTTGAGCATTTGTAGACTAAGGCAATTTTTAGACTTCCTTTTAGTCCTGCTATGGCAATTGATTTACATTAGTTAAACT